AATTAAGCGACAATGAGTAGCTCGCCCAGAGCCGCGGCTCTGCCGCCCACCGGCACTGCTGCTCCCTTGCCGGGGAGGATTGTAATTTACAGCCGGCTGTCGTTAAAGCACTGCTTGGGGGGTGATTAATTTTCGAGGAGGGATAAACGCGGCCCCCGGGGAGGCGTCGCTGAGCCCCGGGTGGGGTTTTCCCCCCTGGCCACCAAGCAGCCACGGTGATGGGCCCCGATGGGGGTTTATCCATCCTCCCCGTAAAGCTGAGGATGCTGCGGTGGTGGGCGCGTGGCCGGGCTGTCCCACGGCCCCGGCAAGGACGGACGCTGGGGGTGCCTTGGCCGGAGGGATGGCAGGGGGCAGCCTTTCTGGAGGGCACCCGTAAACATTTCCTGGAAAACCCTCCTGCGGCGGGTGCTGCTGGCACAGCTCTTGGTCCCCTGCCGGGGAAGCAGGTGCCGGGTTAGCATCACCCGCCGGCTCACTTTTCTGCCTGTCATCAGGGCGGCTGTCCCTTCCCTCCTCCTCCTCCTCCTCCTTAATGCCCATAGCTGGGCCCACCGTGGGCATCAGCCTCCTCGCTTGCTTTTTCCCCCATCCCAAAATAATTTCTGACCCTTCTCAGCACAGCAAGACGTGGATTCGTGCTGTGGAGGCTGGTGGAGCATCACCAAAGATGCTCCTACATCCTTATCGCTGTCTACAACTGCCTGAGAGGAGGGGGGAGCCGGGGGGGTCGGGCTCTGCTCCCAGGGAAGGGGTGATGGGACGAGGGGCAGCGGCCTCAAGTTGTGCCAGGGCAGGGTGAGGTTGGCCATGGGGAACAATTCCTTCCCCTTGGGGCTGTCAGGGGCTGGAAGGGGCTGCCCAGGGAAGGGGTCGAGTCCCCAGCCCGGGGGGGATTTAACAGCCGGGCAGAGGTGGTGCTGAGGGCCAGTGGGGGCCGGGTGCCCCCAAGGTGCGAGCCTCTCCGGGGAGGAAGGTGGTGCCAGGGGTAGGGAGGTGGCATCGCATCCTGGGTGTCATCCCCCCGCCCCCCCATCCCAGTGCGGGACCCCCACATCCACGGGGACACTGATGCTGCATTGGGGGTCACGGAAGCATCCCATGAAAAGGGTTTTTGGTTGAAAAACCATCAAGAAGCCCTTTTTGTCCCCTTCTCTGTCCCCATCCCCAAGTTGGGGGGGGTCCCCCCATTATCCCCTGCCCAAATTTGGGGTCTCCGGTATGGGATATGTGTCCACGGCTG